TAATTAAAAGCAACATATGAAGAAATCTTAGCATAATAAGAAGAAGATCATGAATTTGAAATTAAAGATTTAAATGATAGATAGAAAAAAGAAATTGATAGACTTAAATGTTTATTAGCTGAAAAAGACTCAAAGTTTAAATAAGAGTAGAAATTAGTATAAGAATTAAGATTAGAAAATGAAAAATTAGATAAAAGATTATAAGAGAAGGAATAAGCTTATTAGTTATTAGAGAAAAACCTTAAGGAAGCTGAAACTAAAATAGATGTTTAATGTAAGGATTTAGAAGATAAGGATGATTAATTAAAGAAAAAAGATAAAAAGATTTCAGAATATAAAGATAAAATTAATGTTTTACAAAAATCTAAACATGTTTTATCATTTAGAACTACAGAAATGAAAAAATCATTAGAACCTAAGGAAGCTTAAATTGAAAAATTAAAAGAAGAATTATTTAGATTAGAAAGTGAATTTGCAAAATAATTAAAAATTAATAGTGAATTGAATTCTAAAATTAATGAAGAAACTAGTAAAACTAATGCTCTTACTCATGATTTAAATTTATAAATTTAAACTACTAAAAAGAAAGAAAATATTATATAAAATATTACTAGAGATATTCATAATTGTGTACATTATATTGATGATAAAGTAATATAATTTAATTATTTTAGGAATGGAAAAAGGAAATGACTAAATTATATTAAAGATATGTCCTTTAATAAGAAATTAAATAAAGTTCTAATGATCCTCGTTCTATTGAAGAAATGAATAGACATATTAATCATTTAGAAAAGAGTGCCATATAAATTAATTCAAGTACAGAAAAAATGATGGTTAGAAGAGAAAAAGAAATTTATAAAAGAACTAGTGAAAATTAATAATTAATACATGAATTAAATGAAATTAGAAAATAATGTAAAGATTATGAAACAGAAAAATCAAATTTAAAAATTGAAAATGATAAATATAAAAAAGAAAATGAAAAATTTAAATAAGAAATTAAAGTCTTATAAACTAAGCTTGGTAAAAATATTGGAGAAGTATTTATATTTTTAAATAACTATAGTAAAATGTTGAGATGATGAATGAAGATGTTATGTAATAATCTTAATAACCAATTTTACCTTCAGCTTTGAATATTAATAAATAAGGAAGTGCTTAAGCTAGACTATAATCACTACCATAAAAGAATAATAAAGTAGGTAAGATCTTGAGAGGTCCCAATTTCGATAAATAAAAATTATAACCATTTGAATTCTAAAAAAATGTAGAATTATAAAATTAGTTGCAAATTGCTATCAATTAATTACAAGCCAATGATGCTATGATTAAAAATTTCAAAAAGATTCTTAAAGAAAAAGGCATTGAGGATCCATATGCTGATGCTGAATAAGAATAAAGTTAATTTGGAAGACCTTTAAGCTCTATATTTGGTAGTAGAGTTTGATTAAGATATTATTAAATATATATTTTATATGCAATTACCTTAAAATAATTTTTCAGAGTACGCAGAGGTTCAAAGTTTTAAATACTTATTTTTGAGAGATGTCAAAATAGTTCTAGAAATAGCTGCTGAAACTGAAATCATCCTTAATCATTATCAAAATGATAAGACTTTACAATAATTAGTTTTAAATAAATTGATCAATCAAATAAATAATTCTAATAAAGTTCACACAGAATTATAATCAGATTATTAAAAAAAAAGCGAAAGTTTTTAACTAAAAATACTAGCTATAAGAAAGGAGATTAGAGAATTATTTGAAGTATTGATGGATGAATTTGATAATGATTAAGTGAGAAATTTTTTATATAAATACCTTGATCATAATTTAGAGGAAGTAGTTAATCCTTATTGGCAATTGATATAATAAGTTAAGTTAAGTGAAATACCAGAATAATAAATGAATTTCTTAAAAGCCATCAATAGGAAAGGGGAAACATTAAGGACATTAAATGCTAATATTTATACAGAAGAAGAAATTAAATAAATCATCAATGAAAAAAAATCATTTGTCAATTAAAAGTTACAAGAAATACCCAAGTGAGATGAATTTTAATATAAAAGTATATAAATATTGTGATTAATTTCAAAAATAAAATAAAAATAAAAAACTTACTAAATGAATAGTTCTAATTTCCTAAGGATGCCAAAACCTTTAATGACAATAAAATAGAGTGAATGGAATTTGCAATTAGAAAGATGTAGATTAAATGCTCAAAATCCAATGAGCAAAAGCTTTTTCATGAATCAAAGCATGTTTGAATCTTAATAAATAAGCATACACATCTAAAGTCAAGCCTGATTAATCTTCACACTCTGAGTTAAATATATATTAGTAAATTATTATAATACGCATTCACAATTAATTTAAATGCTTTTCTTCGCATTATAATTGATGCTATTATATTGATACTTTGAGTTGAATGAAAGAAATAGGTTTAACCTTCATCCTTTATTTCCCCAATGCAAATTATAGATATTATAGAATTTTAAAAGTTCTGTTAAGGAATTTTAACTTAATAATTACCTGCCATTAGATTTAAAACTTTAAATAACACTTATAAAAGAGTTATATAGCCAAAGGGGAGATATTATTTTTAGATGTTAGAGTTAATTTTATTTATCTAGATATCCAAATCTATTTTAAAAGAAATAAGTTAAACTTATATTTAATCTATGAAAATTCACAAATTATTTAATCTAGTTACAAATTATACTTATTAAATCTCTTAAATGAAATACAACTTCTTTATATTGAATTCTTTTCAAAAATAAATATGAGAATCTAAATTTAGATCATTTTACAATTAATTGAAGAACATAGTTAATCAATATATTTAATGAGATCTAATTTTAGATTATGAAATTGTTTACACATAAAACTTGAATATAAAAAAGCTTACGTTATTTTTTAAGTTTTGCTTGATTTTTAAATTCTGAAAAAAATGGTTCTTTTTCAGGTAAGGTTTCTTACTGATTATTTGTTTATTAATTATGAAAAGATGTGAATGCATCTTTGTTTTTATTTTTAATTATAATATGATTTTAGTTTATAATAATATTTTCATTATTTTTTACATTAAAATTAAAATCGTGACAAGAAGTTTCAATAAAATTCTAATGATTTATTCAAATTATCTTGGTTTATTTGAATAAAATATTGAATGGTAACAAAAATGTAGGATTAAATGGAAAAATATATGATTTAAACATTACAAAAAGTTAAGATTTAAAAAATCCTCAGATTTATTTATAATTTAAATCAACTTAATTGAATTAACTAATATAGTTATTTGATATTCATCACAGAAGTAAAAGAATTGAATATTTAGATTTTTTTAAATTAATACATTATGAATTCTCTGAGCAATCCTAATAAGATCATCAAAAATCAATTCAGACCAAAGAAAAATCATCGGTAGAATCTTATAGATTAGTATTTTAAGCAAAAGGAATAGAAAAATAAGATTGTAGAAAATAAAAGAAAAGAATTTAATGAATTTATGCATATTTTTTAGGTTACTTAAAATGTTACTAAATTAATTTGAAAAGGAAATTAAATTAATTAAAATTTGTTAGTGAAATAGATATTGAGACTTATCTTAAGGAGTATAGAAAGTTTAAAAATAAAGATTGTGTTAATAATAATTGATTAGTTATAATACGTTACAAAGATAATTCATAACAAACTAATAATGCATAATAACTTTAAATCATAAAATATATGTGCCATTCTAAAGTATTTTAATCAAATACCTATTGAATTTGAGTTTAATTAGTATTACTTAAAGGGATGATACTTTTAACTTTTAATTATAGTATATATAATGCTTTGAAAATATAAATAATAGAAATATACGTTGAACTATTAAATTAGTCATCATCTTTTTAATATTAAAGAATGGATTATCAAATGTGTGAAGAAATGTTTTCAATAATGTGGTTATTTTATTTAGAATTTTATGAATCTTCTTTTGTAAAATGGATTTACATGAAATTTAAATATAAATGTTAGAGGTTTAAAAAGTAGTTAAATTTATATTTTTGATTTAATTTTAGATATAAACCAAATATGATATCATTTAGTTATGAATTTCAATCTATGCTTCTCAATATTGCTTTTTAGAGTTACTGAAAGTATTTTGGAAATGGTTGATTCCAAATCTTATTCTAATAATCGAGAATTATTAAATACCATCTGCATCTTCTATTTAAGAATTGGAACTCACTCCTTGCAAATTGATCAATCTTAAAATTTGAATGGTGGAACATAACCTGAATTAAGATGCCAATTGTTGATTTGCCCTAATATATGAATATTTATATACAATCGAAACTGCATTTTTATTTATTAGGTAGGTTTAACAATTGATGATGAATAAACAATAGTCTTAGCAAGGCTCAAAAATCCCCGCATATTAAATTTTAATATATTTATATATAATTATGAATTTTGTAAGGGTGTATTAATTAAAATGAATGATAATGTTCTAGAGGAATATGAATAACTTGAATTGGATAGTGAATCTCATGATTCTAAATTATTGCCTTAGCCTTAATAATATGTATAAGAGACATTAGAAGATATAATCAAATAATAACCTATATTTTTTGAATAAGAAATTCAATAAGGAAATTTTAATGTATTAATATTACACACTCCAGAAAATTTAGATGAATTAGATTCAACAGGATATGCATTAATTCATCATGCAATTTCGTTTGAAAGATTGGATATTATTAGATACTTACTTTTGAAGGGTGCAAATCCATTAATCAAATCTTAAATTTAATAAAGTTGTTTGATGATGGCTTGTCATTTTGGAAATTAAGAGTTGGTTAGACTCTTTATTGATTTAGGAAATAAAATAAATGAGTAAGATAATTTATAATTTACACCTTTACTTTATGCAATAAAATGTAATTAATAATTGATTGCCCTTTATTTAATAGCTTTATAAGCTAATACAGATGTTAAGGATAATGCTGGGTGCACAATTATGCATTGGGCTGCCTATACAAATGATGTTTATATGTTAAAATATTTTGAAGGAGATAAGTCTTATAATTAATTGGATTCTAAGGGTAAAACTCCTTTGATTAGAGCAATCTCAAATTATTCTAATGATACAGTTGAATATCTACTAAGAACATATCCAGATATTATGCCAAATTATGAAACTGATTTAAAAACCTAAGCAATAAAAAAAATAGTAGAAACTATTTAATTTTAAGAATTCATAAAACATCATAACACAAAATTAATTCAATATATAGTTATTGGTATATCCTATTTAATTATTGGATTTCTCGTTGCATGTAATTTTTGGAGATTAAAAAGTGATGATACTTATGGTTATTGCATTTCTTCAATATCTTTATTTCTAACATTAATCAGCTTATGTTATTGCATTTTTTTTTTATCTAAAAGTACTAATAGACAAGAAGAAGGCAAAAGGATATCAAAAAATTTAGGACATTCTAAAATAAGTTATGAATTTCATCTCAATAATGGAGAACATAGACATCATATTTTAGAAGAGGAAATAAATCTAGATTATATATAAGATGATTTGGAAAATAGAAATTCATAAAATCTATCAGAATTATTAAGAGCAGTAAAATTGTATTTTGAAAAAGATGAATAATTTATGAATTTTGATATATCTAGGACTTGTTCTAAATGTAAAATAATCTAAAAAGCATAAGTTTATCATTGTGAACATTGTAATACATGTGTAAATAATTATATCATTTATTTAGGTAAAAGGATTTTAATTTCACTCTCTATATTTAAATAAATGTATTAATAATACTAATCATTTATTTTATGTGATATTATTGTTAATATACTTTCTAACTTTTATATCTAATGTTTACTCAACTTATTATACAATATCGAATAATCAAATAAGTATTACATTATTCTTTTTCATGCCAATTTTTTCAAATTTTATTAGTATAATCGAATTAATAGCATATTATGGGATGATTTTTGGAATATATGTCACATCAATTAATTTAATAATATAAGTAATTCTTATTTCAATATTTAGATGGCATGTATCTTTTCCAATTTAACTGAGCATGAATTAATGAATTCTGAATAATACAAATATCTTTACGAACTTGTATTAATTTAAGAATTTTATTATATGAAACTAAGAAAAATTGGAAATATATTCTAAAACATTAAAACTTAAATATGGAATCAATTTAATGAATTAAGAATCTTATGATACAATTACAAAGGGAAAAAATTAGTGATTTCTATTATACCTTAGATAATCTTTTCATTTCATTTATTTTTTATAATTCAGTTAATCAAATTATTCTTTGTTATTATTTCTATTAATATTTGACATTTTATTTTTATCAACCTATATTTATTATATTATTATAGGACATATAAATATTATAGTCAAATTTATAAGATGAGATAAAAGATTTATGTGTTTATAAAATTACATTGTTAATAATAATTTTGAGTTTTTTTTTCAAAATTTAATTCTAAAAATAATATAATGCAATCAGAAGCTAGATAAAAATAAAAGTTAGTATTTTTAGGAAATTCATTTGTTGGCAAAACTAGTATTATTGAACGATTTGTTTAAAATACTCATGATCCAAAATCTCAACCTACTGTTGGAATTGATTTTATTAGTAAAAATATGACTATTGATGGAAAAAATATGCGTCTGCTTTTATGGGACACTGCAGGATAAGAAAGATTTCATTCATTGATTCCTGGCTATGTCAGAGATGCATAATGTGCTGTAATTGTTTTTGATGTAACATGTAAAACATTTATTATATTATTAGCTAGGCATTCTTTCGAAAGCTTAGATAGATGGTTTAATGAAGTTAAATAAACTAGGGGCAATGAAGCTTTGATTGTCATTTTAGGAAATAAAATAGATGCAGAAAGAATTATAAGTTCATAAGAAGCTAGAGATTATGCAATGAAAAAAGATATTCTTTATTATGAAGTAAGTGCTAAGACAGGTAAGGGAATTGAAGAAGCTATGGAATAAATTTGTCTAGCTTTACCAACTGATCATTCTTTTCTTATAACATAATCATAAGGTTATCACATTTTCAATTATTTTTATAGTAAACTAATCATAATTTGAACAGTAAACAGTGGTTTCCAACAGAAAATCTGTTCATCAGGATTCAAATGGATTTAAATAATTGTAACAACCATAAACAACTAAAAATAATCAATGTTGTGCTAAATCTTAATGAAATAATTTTATGCTATTTTATATATATATAAATACATATATAATTTATTAATATATAATAATCTCTTTAAATACTTATAATTTAAAAATGATTTAAATCAAATAATTGAAACTAAGATTAATAATTAATCAAAAATTCTATATTCTTAAGTTCATTATAAAAGATGATCTTGCAAATCTAATATTTTTTATGAATTTTCAATTAAAAATTATAAAATTTGCACTTATAACAGAAAAATAATTAGCTTAGGTAATTTAAAAAAAATAGAAAAATCCTAAGTCTATTAAAATGATATTATTACTAATTAGATTATAAGATTAAAAATTATTAGATATTTTTATATTTATGATAAAATATAATAAAGAAGTTATTGAATTTATAATATTCATAAATATAAAAATTAATAATGATACAGATTTATATGATGAATTTCATTAGTATTATAATTCTTTAAGAAATGTAAAAAAAATATATTTTATATAAATAAAAGAAAATCTCTAAAAGAATACTAATTTCTTGTAGATAAAATTTGAATTATTGAAAATACATGTTTATTACTTTAAACAAATAGAACACATTTTAATGAAATCAAAAGTTTTTTTATTTAAATTATAATGTAAAATTCACAAAAAAGCAATGAATAAATGAAATTTGATTCATTCGTTCTTAAAAATTAGATTGATAATAAATGGTAATACAAATAGAAAAAGAAAAAAAGGCTACTCTCTAAAATTGCATTTGGATCCTCATAAGAGAGACAACAAAATATTAGATCACCTTAACTGTTGGATTATTAAATAAATTATTTATCAGTATTACCTCATGCAAGAAATGTACTGATTTCCAAAAATGAAAGAACTCAAAGATCTATTACAGAAATTTCAAAGTCTTATCACTATCCAATTAATGTCAAATTTCCTACTATAAACTAATAACATATATAAGAAAATATAAAACCATGTATTTTTTAAGTAAAAGAATATACTCCTAAATTGTATGATGATCTGCCATATACTTCAGATCAATTAAAAGAATTCTTTAATTAACTTACGTATTATATTTTTTTACTTATATAGATCTAAACATAAAGTTAAAAAACCTGATTAATATTTTATTTTTTGAAAGTTTCACTAAAAGAGTATATATTAGATATGAATAAATACTATTATTATATTTAATTATAATTCTTAATTTATTTTGATTCTTAAAGATTTCTTAAATTAATAAGATAATAATTTTAAGATTTATTAAGATGAGATATAATTTTAATTATATTTGATTATTTAATTTATCATTCATTTAAAAAAGAAATGTTAAACTAAATATCTATAAAATATTATTATATAAGTAAATACTACCTAAAATCTAAAAAATTCAATATTTATTTATTAATTTATAAGATAAATTCATAATTATATACTTTTTTTGTATAACATATCATTCTTTATCAGAGCCAGAAGATGCAGAGTCTTCTGAATTACTAGATTCCTCTTGTTTCTTTTTCTTTTTCTTTTTATCTTTCTTCTTTTCCTTTTCTTTATTTTTTTCTTTTTCTTTTGCATTAATTAACATTAATTATTAGACTGCATCTGCTAGTTGAGCTGGTTTTTTAACAAATCGATTTACACCTTTATTTAATTATAATTTAAATAAGGAAACTAAATCATCGTCTAAGAGCTTTACTAATTTAGGTGTTATTTCATCATCCTAATCTTAAAGGGCTTAAAAGGCTTTTTAAGCTTCTAAAGCTTTATCAAGATCAGACAATTCAGGTTTTAGTATAGAGCAGTATTCATTTTCACTTGGTTTCATATGTAAGCCAAGTTTAGGTTTAGGTAAATAATCAAAAAGTTTAATTTAATCTGAATTTAATAAAATCAATTTTAATTTATCTATTTCTTATAGTTTTTTGATGATATAAGTAATATCTAGTGTATGGGTGATCTTACTCATAGAAAAATTAATAAGATCTCTTTTACCTCCTTTTTTACATTAACAACATCCAAAATAATCAAATAATTGTAAATCTAATTTATTTTCTTATTCTTAAAAAAATTAAGTGATATCATTAGAAATTTAATCTAATAATTTAGATTTTTATTATTCATCATGTTCTGCAACTTTTGACATTCTATTGAATTTTTCAAGTTGAACAGATTTATTTAATATTTCTTTAACTTTTGAACTACCTCTATGTTCAGGATGTATTTTATTATCATAATCTAATTCAAAATTAAATAATTCATTTAATAAAGATACTCTATATGATAAATTATTGAAAGGCATAATGAACAATAAAGAACATAGAAATATGATTTCCCAGAAACCTCCTATATCTCCTAAAAATTAATAGACTCTTGGATATGATCTTTAAGTAATCAAAGTTTTTTGATCAAGTGATATATTGATTTCAAAGATATGTTTATCATCATCTTTATCTAGTATAGTTTCAAAATAATTAGATATGGAAAGAATTGTTTCCTAATATTAATCTTAAATGATATATCCATTATCAGTTTGCGTTTATTATGGTTATAGAATGATATTCAATTTTTTGGCAAAGTTTGTCAGAGATGTAAGACTGAATGTTTTGCCAATGAGGTATGTAGGTGTTTTGAAATTAGATATGTCTGTATTGGCTGATGTCATTTTAAATAGGAATTAATCACTATCTAATATATTTGGATATGTACATTAAGTACTAGGATTAATTTAATTATATACATTGAAGTGCATTATTTAACTATGATTTATATTGATTTGTCTTTTGAGGATTCTAAACCACCTTCGATGGTAATTTAACCAATAGAACTCCAATCTATACAGTACCAGATTTGATCTGACTTATCGAAATACGCATTCAAAGAAGGGTCGCTAAATTAGAAGTCGATGCATTTTGTTAATGGGATTTCTTGCAAATTTGTACTATAAATAATTATTTATGTTTTTACCTATCTACACCTCCTAATGCTCCCTCTAGAATATAAGAATCCAAGAGATCATATCCTTTCTAAGCAATGGCGATGCTGAAATTTTAAGGTGTCAAATAAAACGCATTTTAATGCTCTTAGTATTGAGTATAAGTGATAACACTAGGGTTATTTCTGACAATAAGGGAAACAAGTCCACTGTAATAAACCAAAATTACTAGACTTACAAGAATAGTTGTCAGAAAGACTCCTAAATATGTTCTATGTCCTTATTCTTTCAAAAGTAATAAACTCACAGGTCTAGTGTAGACATTAAACTTTTTGAAAGCATTACTCAAAGATTATAGATTTGGCATGAAAAGTGAGTTAAAATAATTAATATCAAATATTACTCAAGAGCCATTAAGATTTTAATATCACTTATTCCATTTGTCTCTACTATGTCATATATAATTGCACTTGTTTAGCCTATTGAATAAATAGGAATATAATACTTTATACTTTTCATTGTATTCTTTTAACAAAAACAAAACACCATCATCGATCATTTAAATATCTTAAACACTGTTTGGATCAATCTGCCAAATGATACATTTTTTCTTTCTGTCACAATTGAAGAATTGTTAATACATTAAAACAAAAACTAATTCTGTACCTCCAGATTCATATTCAAAACTATCATAATAATAATAATCTTCTAATTTATTATTCATACTAATTAAAAATTACATAATTTTGGCATCTTTAGCATTATAATTTTTATATAATTATTCTTACTAATAAATTACCCTAATTTCTCTAGTTCTCTTATCATTTGCCTTATCATCCCAATATTGAGCAGTTGCTTTAATTCCATCAGTTGTTTTACTTACAAAATCAAATACTCCAGCAAATGGCTTAATAAAAAACCCAGCTGTACCTTCAAGTACTCCAATAGTTAATCCTTTCATTCCTTTTCTCTTTGCTTAATTAACTGGTAAATCAAACACTCCAACAACAGCTCTAGTTACAGATACATATAATAATTTTCCTCCTAAATAGATTCCAGATATTAATTAATTAGGTTTTACAACTCTAAATTATTCTCTCTCTTATTTATATTATTTATCCAAACTAATATATGCCAAACCACCACTTATACTTCCAGCTATTTTACTTGTTGAATTAGATATTCCACTTATTGTATTCTATAAGAAACTTCCTGCTCCTTTTGCTATACCTATTCCACCTTCAATTGGTCCTTTAATAAACCCTTCAATTGGTTTGTCAAATAGATCATAAACTCCTTTTGCAAAGTGTTTTACTAATCCAACTGGATTACCAAATATTTCAATAGAACCTATTAATTTTAAAATTAAATTAAAAAGCATATCTTTATAATGAGTAGACAATTTAGTAAGAATAGCATTAGATGTATCAAATGAATTTTCTAAAAATATACCTGCTAATATTAAAGGAGCTTCATCAATATTTCCTATAACAATACCTATAGTCTTTAATATCTACATTAACATATTATATTGTAAATTTGTCTTTGCACTACTATAAAATGTTAAATTAAAATTAAGAGGATATATTTCAATTTTGTTGATATATGTTGCTTATTAATCATTTAATTCAATCTTTAATTCCTACCATTCTATTTTATTTTATATTCCATAAGATCCAACTCCATATTTATTTTAGACTTTATTAGATAATGTTAAACTATTTGTTTATTGTAAATTCTATTATTCATCTTAACTGATTGCATATTCAAAATCAAATTACTTTAATTAATCATCTACTCTCATATTGGATATAAATGATAATGTAATCTATTTATAAACAGAATAAAGTTATTCTAACATTTCAGAAGTTAATCTAATTGTTGTAGGTTAAAGACAAGCTCTAATATTTTTAATTAATGAAATAGATTTAACTTAAGTAGATTATTCAAGTATGAGTGACAAATGAGATCTATTAAATTCAAAGATTTCCTTATATTTAGTAGGAGTAAAAATAACAGGGAACATAGTTTTACTGGAAGTATTATTATCAATATTAATGTATTTTACTTTGAATTCAGATTTTCTACTTTATGTTGTTTATAATAAATTAAATTCAAGTCCTTTAAAATAAACATAAATTAATTCAACTCTTTTTTTATAAAATTAATCTATTAATGAAATACCTACTTAATTTAAATTAATATCTAATTTAAGAATATTTGTATCATGTTAATTTTATTAATTTTGCACTTCTTATTAGAATTTTAATTTTCTACTAGCACCTTCCCAAAGTGAAATAATATAAAATTTATATTATTCTGATTCATTTAATACACTTGAAATGACATACTCTTAAACAGCTTCTGCTTCTTCAAGATTAATAAAAATTGGGTTTACTCTATAATGTGTACTTAATTCTCCTTCAAATTAAAGTTATATCACTAAATCTCTTCTTTCACATGGATATTCCCATGAAAATGCACATTATTAGTTATTATTTATATATAATTTGTATTCATTGAATTAATAACGATGACTATATTTTTCATCTGAACAACAATATTAATAACAAATTAATGTCACTAATTCTAAATTATTAACAATTACATAAGGAGGATCCACTTAATTGATATTAGAAATTTATGATTATTATTATTATTAAATAATAGAATTTCTTTATGATTAATCATATAATGAATTTTATGTAACTATTGATTTACATTCTAAAATAATTAAATATATTATTTAATTATCTCTTTTTGTAATACAATTAAAGTGTTTAATAGTTGATAAATTATTTGCAGCTCTTATAGTAAAACATTAGAATCCATTACCATTTGGATCAATTGGATTAGTAGGTTACCATTCAATAAATTCATCTTAATAATAAATAGAAATATATTAATAACGTAATGAATACCAAACTAAAGGTTTTCTATCCATAGATTTAATTTCCAAATATTAAGTATTTGATTCTTATAATATATGAATAGTATTTTGAGTTTAATTAACTATTATAAATCTTGGAGAAATAGTTAATACTTTAGTTACTAATGGTTTTGATTTATCTACACACATTAAAGATATATTATAACCAACTTCTATAATTTAATTTTAATCATTTGATATACGAACTGTTTAATTTCCTGTATAATTTAAATTTAAAGTTTCAGAAAGTTAAGTATAATTTTCACTACTTGAAAATGATAGAAATTATTAATCATTAAATAAAGTTATATTATGAGTATCATTTTGATCATTCTCTTCCAAATCTTTCATTGGTTAACCAGCTATTATAGTTGGATTACCTTTCTTTATGTCTGTTACTCCATAACAATAAATTTTAAAAGGTAATTCATTAACAATCATTTATTAACAATATATATAAAATACATTTTTGATTTGATCAACTAATACATATCCATTTGTATTTCCAAAATAATCACATAATTAAATATTATCAACTTAAAAAGGACCAAATTTAGCATGATATAACATATGTATTCCTGAAATCTAAAAAAATGGTAATTTTACAGTAATTGCTAATCTACCTTTTGATGAAATAGTATGTATTAATTTTTATTCCTATTTCATAATTTATCCTTTTTCTTTTTAATGTAAATGTTCATATTAATATTTATCTAGATGTTTAAGTGTAACATTAGTTAGATTTGATTATTCATTATCAATTTATTATTATATTATAATAGAATCTGTTAATAAGTCTTATTCAGAATCACCATACAATTCATATTAAATAGGAATAGGTAGACAATTTTTAATTTAAAAAGGAGATTCCAAATAAACTAATGTTTAATTAACATTTCTTTTAGAACATCTAATAATTGTATAATAATCATTATGTTATTATTCATATTTCTTTTCTATATTATCTGATAAATATCTTAAATTAATATAATTGCTATATTTAGGATGACCTTAGAATTTAAAATTAAAATATTATCTAGTTCTATCAATAGGTACACTAAAAGCTCGATATGGTTCAATTTATGCTTAATAAATATTTTATTCTTAGACTCCTTATAAATCAAATAATTATAAATCTATAACCATATTAGTTTAATTAAAGATAATAGTTTCAGAAGATATTAAGAGTAATTTTCTAGTATCTTTAGGTACTACTTCAACAAATAACATAAATATCTTATCAGTATTTCTATTATATGGTTTAATTGGACATCTTGTTACTTTAATACAATCTAGATCTATGGATTTCATAGGTTCAAATTAATATTTATTATGGATTACTTTAATTGTAACTAATCTTTATTATTATTATTATAAATCATCTCTTTCTCTTCCAAACATTTAATCAAAATCAGCATCAATTTCATAATTAATAGATTAATTAGATTATAATATATATTTCTTATTGATATTACTAGTATCACTAATTTCAAGTATGAATCCAGTTTCATTTCTAATTGTATAAGGAGAAACATAATCAACATTATCTACTCTTTCATCTTCAAATATTTATTCATGTAATTTTTATTTTGGTTATTACAAATTTTATAATGACTTATCTAATTAAATACTTATAGATTTTTCTAATTATTTATCAAATTAATCTAAATTTGATAATTTCTCTTTTTTATTTTCTTCCATCTCTTATTTCCAAGATATAAATGTTTTATGAAATACACTAATCATTTATGCAGATAAATTTATATTCATAGTTTATTATTCCTAAGTCATTTCTAAAAAGATGATACTTTAAGGTTCACCCTTAGGATTTAAAGAAACATCAACTGAAAAATTACAACTCTCCAAAATAGGTTCCCAAACAGCAATTTTAGGATTATAAAATGAACTACTTAATTTAATAACAGTAGAAAATATAGATTTTGTATTAACTTTCTAAAATTGTAATTGAGTTTCTGATAATGTCAAATCAAATACTGGAACATATGCTTCTCCTGCATCATTTATTACAACAATTTGTAATCCACTTATAATAGCATCATATAAATTATTGATTGGTTATTCTTAATTCACAATATCTTCTTATTCATATATAGGTTCACGAATAACTTCTTATTTGCTAGATTTCAATTTATCTGAAATACTCATTATTAATAGTAAATCTTAATATGAAAATTTACATATAGTTTTATCTATATGAAATGAAAACTTATTATGATAATAGATGAACTATTTACTATATTCAACTTATAATTCATTTTTCAAACAAAAAAATAATGAAAATGGTAATATTATATGTCTCTTTCTAACTTATTTTAGATCATAATTTATATAATCTACAAATTTACATTTAAATAATTCCAAATTCTTAAGATTTACTTTATGTTCAAATGCATCTCCAATAATCTCTACTAATTTTTTATCTAATTAATTCTTTTTTAAATTTATTATTATTTGTTCTGGATGTAAAAATCTACTCCTATTCCAAACATATGAAATATCACCCTTTGTTCCAAGTATGAAATTATTATCTAAACCTTATAAACATAAACTAGAATTTAATATTTCAACTATTAATTTAATACTAGGCATTTCTCCAAATTCTGTTTGAATTGGCCAACACTATTATTCTAATCTACTCCATAAACCAACATTAACAAATACAGTAGGTTCTACTATCATTCTAACATTTCTTAATATTATATGACATTCCTTATCAGAACTAGGTTTTTAAATATGAAATAACATTTAAAATTAAGATTATTCTTTATTGAATTCTTAATCAAATATATATTTATTAAATTCTTATCTTTACTTTGTTGGTTAATAACCTTTAATTAATTGATTAATTTAGAATAATTTTTATTAATCTTAATTTAAATTCAATTCTCCAACAAATCCAAATTCATTATTATATTCATCATAATTATACATACTAATTAATTGACTAAATAAATTTAAATCAATATGTGTCTCTTTTAACCATTCTAATCTCATTTATTTCATATTGATTTGAACCAATGGTTATTCAGATTTCTTACTCAATGCAAAAATTGAAATATCTTCAAAATCTAACCAAAATGATATTGGAGCTGGTTCAAATGATCTACTTACTTCAAAATCATGAATATATAATTTATCCTTTAAATCATCATTTGTAAAATTATGAAAAATCATTTTGCATATTTCCAAGTATTCTTTTCTGTATAATTTTAAAAGTATTGGTGACATACAAGATCTAATTCTAATACTTCTATCCATTTTAACATTATCATATAATTCATTTATTTCAAAATAATGTAAAGCTCTTTCAAATGATAAATTAAATTCAAATAAAGAACTAACTTAATTAATTCCATTTTCATAATATTAAATTTACATATTATGTCCTTCAATACAATAAGCCTCACTCCAAGCCTTAATAATTCTACCATCAGGCATCCATTATTCAATTGATTATATTAATGAAATACCACCTTTTTATAATAATCTACTCATATCTATATATTATTTATTATAGACTTCTACAACCTCACAATCTAATTAAAAATATTCAGAAAAATGAGGCCATCCTTTAATAATTGCCAATGGTTTATTAATTACAATTCTTAAATCAATAAATGTAGGACAAATATATTTTGATTAAATTTATTCTATATCTCCCCATACTCTTTTAGCTTTTAATCTAGTATTATTCTTTCTTTTTTATTCAATATATTCTGTATTCATAGTTAATGCATCAGGTTCTTTTATCAAAGCAACTATTTAATTTATTATATAATCAATTTATCTCATTAAAGGTTAATGTTGATATATTGCAAACACAGGATTAATTTCAATTAATAAAAATGCATTAATTCTTTCTTAATTTGCTATAATAATTTCATCATATCCACTAAATCTAAATCTAACAGCCCAATCATCATATACATCTCTTTTCCCTACTAATTTCTATGGCTATATCAAATGAAACTCTTAATTACTATCTATTGTAAAGGGATAATTAGTCATATCATATAAACTTATATCTTTTAATTGAGTATCTAAATAATAACTAAATTATAGTTTTTTAAAAGTAAATTTTACTTCATCTAAATCACATTTAAATAGTAAACAATGACTAGTTCTATGAAAGAAATTAATAGAAATAAAATTTATAGAAGTTTCTAATTCCATAACTGTATCTTTACTACTTTTTATTTAATATGATGATAAAATCTCATCTTCAACCCATTAATAATCATTCAAGAAATTTTAATGATCAATTAATGTATTAAATTTATTTTTAACTTTCAATTATGATTAACCATATCTTTAACATTTATTAAATGCTCTTTTTAATCCATCAATTAATTTATTTCTTTTAACTTCTTCATGATCACAATTCTTTCCTCTTTTTAATTAATCTGCTTCAAAATCTCGAACTCCTGCAAAATACCATTTTCTTGATTTCCTATCTGATATTATTTATGATAATTATCTTATCTTTAAAAATGTATCTGGTTTCCAATTTATTTATAATTAATCTACACTTATTAATTATTTCTTTCCTGTAATATCTATTCTCAAAGAAGGTTTATTCTCAATCTTATTACTCAATATTATTAAATCTTAAAATTAAGGATTTTGATAATCAAATATCCAATCTTATATAGATAAATTATCAATCTAAATAATTTATTAAATTTGCTATTATTTAAGAGTTTAAAAATTTAAATTATTTAATTAGAATAAAAATAAAAGATGTTCTTAATAAACACTTGGATAATGATTTTCTTTATATAATTTCAATTGTATTTTCTTAATCGATATATCAATTTTCATTTAATCATTTTATTTAACTTTTATTTATTCCTCTTATTTTTATTTAATTTCTTCATAAGATTAATATTATTCTATTTATAATTTTATTTTATTAATCCAATCACTTAATTCAATATTATTATCACAAGCAAATATATATTCTCCTTATTTATTTTTTATTTTAAATGAATGTAATTAATCATCAACTTATAATTATTCTAAAGTAGAATTAAATAAACTTAATTATGAATTTGCCATTAAAATCTTCTCTTAATCATAAAAATATAAATCAAAATTACTTAATACTACATATTAACTACTCCATGTCTTAATTAATTATCCTTATCTTTTCAAAAATCCATCTTTGACTTTATATTTTAATATTAATTATTTCTCTAATTATAATTATTATAATCTCTAATCTTCTGATAATGTAGGATAAATTGTTTCTGGTAAATAAACTAAATGTTTATAGACCTTTTCATTTATTATAATATTAATAGGATCAAGTTTCCCTAAAATTATGATTAATGGTTTATTTTCTTTAATTATTAATTCATTGTGAATACTTTTCAATCTTTAAACTAAAACTATTAGATTATAATCATTTAAAATCTGAAAAATTTGATTTCCAAATCTTTCAGGATAATAAAAAAATTTAAATTTACTTATAGAAATCTCAAAATTTTCATATAAATCTTATTAATTAGAGGGTTTTGTACGAATATGAAAACTATCCATTTTAACTAACCAAAATTCATTACTATTTATAGATAATTCTAATATAGGTTCCAAAATCTTAGCATCAATTTTTAATTGTATATTTGATTATAAAATATTTTACAATGAAGATTCTGTTGAATCTTGTATTTTCTCTATTTGATTCCAGGTTGCTGTTTTTAATGTTTATTCTACATAATCTCCTTTCTTTACTTCAGTAATTTCTCTAATAATTCTAATTATACAAGGATTATAATTTATTGTTAAACTTTACATTAAAAATCTAAAATCAAGTCTACAAACCTTGCTTGTAGTTGTTTTTGTTAAAGATACTTTAATAAATTCATTTGTTTCTTATGTAGGCTAACAAATCTGTTCCATTTATTTATTTTTTACCAATTATAAACTAACTTTCTTAATAATCATAGAAAATGAAAAATCTTTATTTTCAAATTAAGCCCAATCTATTTCTATTTATTCTAATTATTTAATTATTCCTTCATCTTATAAAGTATTATTATCTTTAACTAATTAAATATGAGCTTTCTTTAATTTTGCAATAAATTTAAATTTCAATGATTCTGAAGGTCTACACACTAAACTTGTTTCTTCATTATCTATAAAATCTTCTAATTATTTTAATTCAGAATCAGTAATCTCCTCTTATGTTTATCCTCCCAAAAAACTAAACCAACCCTTCTTAGATTTTTATCTTTAATATTCTTATACTTTTAAATCTAATAAATATTTCTTTTATGCTATTGTACTCCAAGATTCTAATTATTTAAATGGTACTAATCTCAATATAGTTTTTAATTGTAATATTTAATCTTCATCACCTAATTATTCAACTTCTTTTAAATCATTTTTCAAAATCAAAAAGAAGATATCACAAAATATTTATTAATGAATATTAACATCTTATTACATTAATTCTTATTTTTAAGACCATACTCTACTATTATAATTAGAAATTAATTCCAAAAATGAAATCATTTAAATTAATTAAGAATGTTTCAAATTTAAATTAATCTCTTCCAATTACATATCTAATAAATAATGTGCTTTCTCAAATCTTTCTTTATGATTTATTACCATTTTACATTAAGCACTAATTTAAATAACTTAATCAAATATTTTAAGTTATTCTTATGGAACATATTAAGATATAAAAATTGTTTCATTTGCATTCCAATATAATTATAGTTATTATAAATCTATTAATTTATTTCTCGGTACAAACTTTGTATCTTTATCACCTCTATCAACAAAAGCTATTACAAATTATTCATTTGTTGTTAAGGCTGTTAAAGAATCCATTTTTATTCCAAATGAATAATTATTATCTTCAAAACGAAAATGTATATTTTTTAAAGAAACTTAAAGATTATCAATCACTTTAAGAGTTAATTTCTCAAAATAACTAGAATTCTCTCCTGGCTCTTTCTTTTTAAGTGATATGCTTTACTTTGCCTTGTCTAATAATTTACTAAATTTTCTTTTTATTTATATGGAATCATCAATATTCCATCGTTATTAAGACAAGGGATTGAAGACAATTAGAATATTTTCTAATACTACTTCTACAGGAGCAGATGATAATTTATTCCATGGTATTTTTAATATTAATCTACCTATTGAGCTGAATTTCAATTCTAATGGTAATTCTAAATCTGCCAAAATTTCTTGTTTCAAAGCTACATTTTCTATAACAATATTTCCACTCCAAATTCCTAATTGTAAATTGGTCTAATCAAACCCTGTGATAAATTTACCAAAATACGTCAATAAAATTCTCTAAAGAATTTTTTCAAACATTATTAAAATTATGAAAAGTAAACCCAACTTAAGTATAACTGTAAATGGTGCAAAATTACTTCAAGATCTTGATAAATTAAAAGGAAAAAGTAAATAAGATCCATATACACTTATTTAATTAGTACCTTAAAAAGTTTAAAACAAAATCAGCAACAAATTAATGAAAATTTTCAATATGGAATGAAACATTTTAATTTCTCTATGATCTTAATAATTCTAATTTAAAATTTCTATTTGTGATGTAGATCCATAGAAAAAAAAATTCTGAAGAGCTAATTGGAGAAGCTATTCTTAATTTATAAAATGCAGAATCATCTTCTGTATGTTTAGTTTAGGTTCCTTTATACAAAAATAAAAATAATATGGGATCATTAGAATTGGAATTCAATTTTGTTTGAAAACAAAAACCTGTTGCTAAGAAAGACAAAAGTGAATTAGGATCAGAAAAATAATTAGATAAGTCTAATAATAATTCTATTTCTTTAAAATAAAATATAAAATAATCATAAGATGATAATTATGAATTTTAAACCGTTAACTTAGAAACACAATAAGCAGAGTTTTAATAAATGGATATAATAAATAAATGACAGAGAATATATAAATACTTTAAAATACTTAGAGGATTCAAGGTAGTAGACAGCTGTAGAGAGGGCTTTAAATGAAATTGCTGAAAAAATCCTAAAGATTAAATTGATTATTTTGCTGATTGTTTATTAAAATTTAAGTGATAATGACAAGTATCTCGTATAATGCAAAAAAATTAAGGCCATTCAAAATTTAAAGAGATGCCTTGATAAATGATCTTAAAAAACTATCATAAGAATATCAAGATGAAGAAAAACTAAATGATCTATATTTTGATGAAATTGGAAAAGCCGAAAAAGTATTTTTTCAAATTTATTTAGGAATATGATGCTCTTTTAAAATCACTTGAGCATTTTCAGAAATTACATTAGGATAAAACTACAGGTCCTGTCACATAAGAATCATAGGGCATAGATGCAATATTAGAACATGAAGTCATAAAAATGCTAAAATTATTTCTTTTAAATATAAGCAAAAAAGAAACTTTGGAAGTGATCTAAGAAAAAGAAATAGCAAAAAGATTATGTATGAATCAAACTCTATAATTAACTCTCAATCCAAAATAAGATGAAAATAATACAAAAATTGATGAAGAGGAGTTAGATAATGGATATTATGTAACATTAAGATATTAATTTAACTCTGTTTAAGTAAAAGTACCTGGTACAATAAAAACATTCAGAGAATTGAAGTAAATTGTAAAATCATGCTTCATGGCAGAGGACAATGAAATATTTTATACAGATTAAATGGGCAATTTATTACAATTTGAAATGAATGTACTAAATGAATTATATCCCCCCATTTATGAATTACTCAAAAACTATGAACCTATTGTAGGTATTCTAATTATTAAATAAAAAAAACAAAAAGAAGAAAGAAATAATGTATCTAATTTAGAAGAGATTTTATTCACAGATGCTTATCCTGAAGGATTAACAAAAAATTTTAGATAAACAAGAAGATTGGAAAATAAAATTAATTGGTCTTTGTATCTAGGATATTTAAACAAAGTTAAATATTTTTTTGAATCTTGTCTCTTTATACTATTATTGTTTTTATTTATACTTACAGAAATTAATCAAATCAAATTTGTTACTAATACTCAAATTTTAGCTTCATTTTAAAATTCATATCCTATTCAAAGATCTTACTCTTAACCTGTATTTAGTTTATCAGCCTTAATTAACCAAACTTTAGCAGAAGAAAATGATATTCATAATTTTTACAATTATCCTTTAAAATCTGGATTATTAATTTAAAAGTTAGTTTAAGAAGAAAATTTAGAGGATTGTCATATTTTGAATTAAAATTAAAAATAAATTTTCTTAACAAAAAAATAGAGCTGCCTTAATTTTAATGAATTATTTGTTGATGATTTAGAAGGAGATTATACTCAAACTGAATTTAATCCATCTAAATATGATAGCTATTATGGAGGATATGTTTGGGAACTAAATCTTACAGATTAAAATAGTTTCTAGAATAGTATTGAATAGATAAAATCTTAAAACTGGTTAAAATATAATATTAAATAATCTTAATTTATTTTAAATTATTTTAATAGTCCCACTTAGAGATTAATATAAGCAACAATCACTACTTTATACTTATTTAATGATGTAAAATAAATATACAATATTTAGGAATTACTCAATTATAATACAATGTAAACCCAAGCATTTGATTTGAATTCTCAAACAGATCAAGAAGTTCTTGCACATACTATCATGTTTTATGTAGCTATTCTTTTATTGATTCCTTCATTTTTTGGTATTGGATTTATATATTAATTTAAGATTTTTTTGGATTTTATTTTATAGGAACTTAGAATACTTTAGTCCTTATATATTTATAATATATGGAACTATTAAACAGAAGAAAAAAGATGTAATCCAAAAAAAGAGATTTAGCACCACAAGAAGAAAGGGAATTTCAATAAAAAAAATTAATTGTAAGTGATTTTTTCATTCTCAATTTAAAAGTGCTTTATGTTGTAATTAAGATTCCACTTATATTCGATATTATTTGTAAATGTATTAACATATATTAGATATGCTAAGCAATGTTAGCATGTTAATAAGAAGTACAATATCGAAATCATATCAATATGAGTTAGGTTTAATTGATGTTGGATCTAATTCATATTAAGATATCTCAAAATTAATAACTCCACTCTATACAACTAGAATTTATGATGGAGTTCAAATGTTGTTCTTAATGATAGCTATTAATAGATTTCTAGGTAATTGGAGTCCTTATCTAAAGTGTTATGGATTAGTTATTATTAGGGTAATTTTTAATTTGATTTATTTAAGTTTAACAAAGAGTCTTGGTTCTTACTTTTAGTGTTAATATTTATAATTAGCATTTGTGCAATGTCTTGGAGCATAACATTATAAGGGAAGTTAATAAATCATGATAATTTCTTTTATTCATTTCTTGGTTTATTAAGATGCACCCTTAAATATGGTATGCATAATGATGTAGCAGAATAAGGTTTTTAGAATAATTATGTTAATGAAATAAGTTATTCTTTTGATACAAGATATGTATTATATTATTATTACATTAGATTCAATATGTTATAGTTATGGTTTTGACAATGATTATGGTACCAATATTTATTTCTTTGATGACATAATAAGTACATAATACAAAAGAAGAAGCTAAATAAAAGATGATGGAATATAAAAAATGAAATATTGAATTAAATGCTAATGTACTTGTATTGATAATAAAAATGTCATTTTTTCTTTTATTCAACTTTTTTAACATAGAATTCTAATTCTTTTCCTTCAAGAATATAACCATCAGCTCTACCTGATTATCCTGGTCTAGATGTGATTCTTACTAAAAGTCTTTAATTTTAGAATTGTTCTGCTACTAAATTATCAATAACTCTATCTTTCATTCTTTATTCTAATTTCTTTTATAAAGATCTTGATTTCTTGACTTCTGGTTAAGCTGGTTAATCCTTATGGTTAATTTCAAAATTCTTACTTTTTTTTAAGTCTTTTTAGCACCCAAATCAACATTGTATTTCTTCAAATACCATTATTTGAATGGAGTTGCATCAACTTATACAATAGCACCTCTTGTAAGTGTTTTTGTTCTGACTAATTCATTATTTGATGGATGATAAACAACTTCTACAATCTTTGCTTTTTTTGCAACACCTTCACTAGCCCATGAAAAATTGCCATCTGATAATCTAAGTGCTCTGAATTTGAAATTTCCTCCTCTAACTCTTAATCTTCTAACTCTCTTTTCACCAGATACTAATTTAGTCATAGCTGCTTGTCTTCCCTTCTCAAATGCTCTCTTCTTCTTATGGATTGGCATACGTCCACCTGTAAGTCTTCTCTTATGTCTGCTATCTCTTGAAATACCCATAAATAATAAAAAAAGATTTTATTTAATTTCAAATAACCACACAATTATGTTTATTATTGTATTATATTGATATCTGTAACAAAGAGTCTTGCTCTTTTAACAACTAAAACTAAAGAATAAATTAACATAATAGATCAAATTTATCCATAATTTAGCAGATATTCTCTGCTTGTTCAATTTTTATAACCCTCTAAGTTTAATGAAAAAAAATTATCTACAATTTATATATATTTATTAAATCATATTACAAAGAATATTATTAAAATTATTTATTATGATATACAACGAAATCTATACATAATATTTTTAAGATCTAAAATATTGTTTTAATTATTGATGTTTTAGTTAATAATCTTATAAAATTTGATGAAATTTCACCATATTACAATTCTGAAACTTATTTTTTAAAATTAATTGTAAGCACACCTATATTCATAACAATTTTACTGTTAAAGATTATTTGTTCCGTATTATAAATTTGATATACTGTATGAATATCAAATATTTAGCAATAATATTTAAATTAATTTGAACTATCAAAATTTAATATCAATATGAAATATCTATAAGGGTCTTTATTATCAAAATTAAATTTCTCTATATCTATCTTTCAGGCAAACCTTAAGTATCACAATATGCCTCTATAAACCTTGAAAATCTCCTTAAACCAATAATGATATTATAATAATTATAATATACATAGAATAAAAAAGAAATATAGAAAAATTATTTATAAAATATAAATATAGGCTAAATATGTTTGTCAAATAATCAAATACTTTTATATCATATTTAATTATAGTAATAAAAATAAGAGTTAGTTTGGTAAATTAAATTAAAAAATTAATAAATAAAATTAATTTTTTAAGTTTATAATTTAATACAATTTTTAATAAAATCAATAAAACAAAATATCAGTTTAAAGAATATTTTTAAAGTAAAATAAATTAAGGATTTATAACGAGAAAAAAATTTAAAGGAAAAAATGATATAAACCATATTATTAAAAGATAAAAAATTATAAATTATAAATATGAAATACATTCCATTAACATAACATTTTGAAACTGTAGCTGCTCTCTATGAAAAATGTGCTACTATGTCGGAATAATTAGAAGCCCTTTAAAAATAATCAACACTATCCAATGGATAATTGGAAAGTGAAGATACACAATAACCTTTAAAAAATTCGCCTAAACCAGTTGAAAAATAAAAAATTAAATAATAAAAGAAGTAATTAGATAATATACGAATTGAAGATAGAAATGATAAAATGATTGAGGAAAAGTAAAAATCATAAAATACTGATAATAAAATTAAAAAATAAATTTAAAAGTAATAAACATAAATAGTATAATTTTCATGTGATCATTGCAATAAAACCTTTGAAACATAAAAAATTTATAATAAACATATTTATTAATTAAAATACAGAGAAAAATAACTCAAAAGAAAACAAAAGTAACAAACAAAAGATGCAATATAAGTAGAATAACCAATAAAGAAAGGAAAAAAGGATAATAATAATAATAAAAAGACAGGAATTTCTATTGAATTGAGTTTATGATATTTAATCAATTATTATAAATTTTTATAAATAGCTAATATATTTAATTTTCTTTATAATTTCTTCTCTTAAATTTTATAAATAAAAAAATAAATATTTTTTTTTGATTAAAATTAATATAATAAAAATAAATGTCAGAATTTTAATAATAATAAGTCCATACATCCAAATTAGACCAAGAATCAGCTACCAATGCTAAAAATCATTTACTTTTAGTTAATGTAATTAGATTTTTTATTTTTTTAGAATATTACTGATCTGTCTAATGAATTGTTATAAAGTTATAAACATGAGATTGATCAATTAAAATAGGAGTTACATCTGATGAAATAGAGAATAACAAATAATAATGAAGAAATAAAGAATACAACATAGCCCACTCTTGATGCTATGCTAAGAGATTTAAGACAAGTATCAAATAACAATGATATAGGCAATAAATACATAAAAAGATGAGAATTCTAAATTATAAAGTTAAATAACTGAATTAAAAAAAGAAAAAAGCTAAATTTAGCAGTTAATTTTAGCAGCAACATAAAAAGTAGCAGAACTCGAACATTAAGTAGGAAACTATACGTCATCATGATTTTATTATTATGCACATTCACAATCATTCAATTTGTCATTTAAGAATGAAATACAATCAAACTTTATTAACAAACCAATTCATTTAAATCATATTTTCTATAAATGTTTTATAGGATTTATTGTAAAATAATATTTTATAATCAAAATCATAATTAAATTAGAGTTGATTTTGAGTTTATTCAATCAAAGAAAAGCTTATTAAAGTAAAATTATAAATAAAATAATAAAGTTTTTCTTATTTTTTAATAATTATTTGTCATAAAAACTTGTTACATAAATATATTTGAAATAAGTCACGAAAAGTGTTCATATTATTTTTTGTTAATAAAAAATTCTATTTAATTGCTGTTAAATAACTATATTTAAAAGTAAAGCCTTCTTTCTCTTATATTTTAGATTATTGATTCTACGGAATTTGATTATAGTTGATTGAGTAGATTTAATAGATTCATGTAATTTAAAAAATAAATTAATTTATCTATCATTTTAAATATTGATATAGGTTTGCTTTAAGACCCTCAATTTCTTGAGATAGAATTCGATTTTATTCATGATATTCATTATTGAAATAGCATCATAAAATTATCTTTTTGATTCTCATATCAAAGATATTATAAAATAAAATACATTTGTTCTTGTTCAGCAGCTAACTTTTATTCTATCAATTGTTAAATTTCTATTTATTTTTAAATTTATATTAATTTTCTATTTATTAGAGTAATTGCTTTTCCTACTTTAAATGGTTGAATTATTCAGAGTAATATTCATTTAAGGTTATCTTGATATGTTAATAAATTTACTACTTCTTTTTTCTATTATTATAACTATTCTTCTTAAATCTTATAAATATTCTTCCTTTTATTTTAACTCTAGTTCCTATTCATTTTTATTAATATTGTTACCCATCTTTTGTGTAGCATATTAACAATCTTCAAATTATTTCTATATAATTTTTTGTCACTTCATATTCTTCAATCCAAAAAGTGGATATCTGTTTAGTTGTATTTTAAACATGTTTTCCATAATAAAATCTTGAGATTGAAATTAATTTTAGCAGATGTTGGTGATTAAATATATTAATTTATATAATATAGTTACATTATTGACATAATAGTGTTGAAAAAATTAGAAAATTAGAGTTAATTAATTATTTTTAATGGAAACAATTAAAGAATTTTGTTCATAAGAAACTATAGAGTATTAATCATTTTTAACTAGTTTAACAGAACTATTGGATAAATTCCCTGATTCAAGTGAATATATTGATGATTTATCATTTCAATAGACTCAAAGATTCGTAAACATACCAATTTGCTTTAAATTAAATAAAATTGCTGAAATAAATTAAACACACAAAATTGTTTTAATAAAGGGAACAGTGATAAGAGCTGGGATGTATTAATAAAATTGTAATTTAGTGCTAAATCTATGTCGAAAATACTTTCTTATAGATGCAAAGAATGTAAATTTGTAACAGAAGTTTAATCATGTTCATCAAATTATTTTATGACTGAAAATTAATTGAAATGTCAAAATATAGTTATCAAATAACAAAAATATAATCCATTCTTCAAATAGAAATTTTAAGGATTTAAAAAGTAAAAGTGTAATTCTACAGCATTTGAAAAATTAGAAGATTCAAAATTAATTGATTATTAAGAAATTAAAATATAAGACACATATACTACAATTGAACCTGGAACTATATCAAATAATATTAGAGTAATGTTAGAAGGAGAATTTGTAAATAGTTGTAATTCTGGAGATGATGTTATAATTGGAGGTATAGTTACTTAAAGATGGAAGATGATTAAATAGATACCTTAAATAACTCTATGGATTGACTGTAAATACTTAAGATTATAAAATTAATTAAAGCTTCTTTAGAATATTGATGATAATTAATTAAATTGCACATTTTAACATAGAAATTAAGTAATAAATTCATTCATACCTGAATTATGCAATTAATGGTAAGTTAAATTAGGAACACTCTTAAGTTTAATAGGAGGAGTAACAAAATCAAATAATGGAATTACAGTTAGAGGAGATTCACATCTTTTATTAATAGGTGAACCTGGAACAGGTAAATCTACTTTCCTTAGAAATGCATGTACAATAAGTGAAAAATCAATATATGTAAATGGTAT